CTCACTCGATGTCGGAATCAATTAGTGCCAGTTATATATTGTTACACAAAATTTTAACAGTAACTGGTTTCAAAACTACATGAAATTCATGAATATACAAATGTCAAATGTTATATATTGGTACAAAAAACCAGTTCAACATCTGTGACTCTTGGCCTAATATACAAATGCTATATCATTATTATTGTTACTTAATTGTATTGCCAGTTCAACATCTGTTACTCTTGGCCTAATATGCAAATGCTATGTATATTGTTACTTAATTGTATTACCAGTTCAACGTTTGTTACTCTTGGCCTAAGATGACATCATGACAGTTCTACTTTAATACTTTTGAATTTAATTCAATTCATTTGTTTCTAAATACTGAAAATATCAAATGAAGTGTTGCAAATGCATGCAACTAGTATAGTGTTTCCACTTTTAGATTTTGATTTTCAATACTTTCAAGATGAAATGCTGCAAATGCATGCAACAAACTAGTATATTGTATAGTGTTTCCACTTTAGATTTTGATTTTCAATACTTTCAAAATGAAATGCTGCAAATGCATGTAACAAACTAATATACAGGGTGTATAAAAAAAAACGCAACCTCGGAATTTCCTAAGAAATCACTTTGCAATTCTTAAGCATAAAAGATTTTAGGCCCCTGAGAATTGAAATCGAATTGCTAATAGATCATATTACTGTTGCTGTGCATTAAATAAATGCATAAATTTTGCTTTATGCACTCGCGTGTGCAGTAATTTTGACAGTTGTGCTATTTTAAATTCCCAGGCGCCTAAAATATTTTGTCTTTAAAACAATGTCGATTTCTTGGGAAATTCCGAGGTTGCGGTTTTTTTTATACACCCTGTAGTGTATAGTGTTTCCACTTTTAGATTTTGATTTTCAATACTTTCAAGTCAAAACTTTGATTTTTCGTAATTTTTAGGTGTAAAGAATTCGTGAAACTAGTTTCCATAGATATCGGTAATATCAACAACAAAATTACCGATACCGATATTTCTATTTTAGTACCGATAAGCCGATACACCGATATCGGTGCATCACTAATAACATTACTTACATGTTTGCTATTTACATACAACAACTTGCCTTGATTACGACGATAGCATGGATGGTATAGAAAGTCTTTTAAATTAACGATTGGTCTATGTGGTTGAAAGTTCATACGCGTGCGTTGGTTGCTAAGGTTAGTTTTTGGGTTCCAAGTAATAGAGGAAGTTTAAGATTTTTATCACATGTAAGTTTTCCAAAGACAAAGAGTTTCTCGTACGAGTCTTGCTTTCTTTTGAATAAGCGACTAGTCCAGATTGAAGCTGGCTTCAGTTTTCTTCGGAGCACGATCTCTTTCTTTTCTTTGAGCATGTGATGCTTCGTCGGTTTTTAACCAAGATTCGTGTCCCTCACGCTTAGCCATATCAATGGCGGAAATCCCAAATGAATTTTTTAGATAAATGTTTGCGTTGTGCTGAATAAGGATTTGAACAACAAGTTTTTTGGCAAGCCTTCCTTCTTCGGGAGGTAAATAGTAATTTCTGGATTGAAAAGCATAGTGAAGTGCAGTACTCCCATAAAAATCTCGTTGATTCACTTCAGCTCCGTGCTTCAAGAGTAACAAGAGGAAATACACCACCCGTTCTATCACCTGTTGACCCACTTCTCCGCAGAACGAGAGTTGCATACACGCTAGCATTAGGCCGGTTACCCCAGGACCTTCTCTGTTGTTTGGGTTTGCTCCATGTTTTAAACAGTCGTCTACACTTTTTACTAGATCACATTTGCTGGAACGCCGAAAGCTTGATAAAAGGAAGTGCCAGGCATACTTGAACTCCACATAAATCTTTCCATCTCTCAGAAGGTGTTCAATTTCTGAATAAATATATAAGAATAATGCATAATGATATACACGTTTGCGGCTAGTACTATATAAACTGTACCTCGCACAGAATATACATTAACACTATCAGAGAGGTGTCTGTATGAGAGTACTGTCCGTATTAGGGCGGTTCGTTTTTGACATTTCCAAAACGCATACAAATATCTGCGTCCACAGTAGCGTTTTTTACCAAACTAGCACTTACGCCCGTATTCTAAAAGTTCACTCAAACTCACACTCAATGTGCGGAACTTCGATCTGAGCTTCTGTCGAGTTTCATATGCAAAAATCTTATAAGAAGGCCAGAAACATTTTTACTGAGAAAGAGACAAATTCACCGAGGTTGGACATAAAAACGTCGCCGATAATAAAGCTTCTATAGTGGTTTTACAATCTCAGAAATAAATTAACTGATAATCATAGTGTAAATCGCTATGTTGTCTTTGCAAAAGTTATGCTTGCAGATTAATCATCATTATATCCAGTACAAGACAAGCAATTCATCTGAAATTAGGGAAACAAGACACTCGCTACGCATGATTGTGTTCATGCGGCTGCGTTTTTGAAAACCTTCGTCTTTGCCCGTCCACACAATAACCTAGTTTCCCGTCCTCGTCCAATACACCCGCGTTGACTCCACGTACTTTCAGAGTCGTTTTCGAAGAGCTCTATTTTCATCGATGAAGGCATCCGTTTTCCATCGTATCAGTGTATCTGTATGAGCGATGTGTCTCTATTAGGGAGGTATTCATATTCGAGAGGTATCCGTATTGGGAAGGTAGGCTACGTCCACAATATTAGACTAATCCGTTTTCGAATCCCTTCGCCGCGATGATCGTGCCCGGGCCCCGGGGAATTTATTTAGTAATTTCTCTAAAAGTTAGTAATATTTTGGTTATCGCATGAAAATCAACCAAATACGCCAGAATGACACAACCTGTTATTCAAAAGTTCAATGAGAACAGTTGCAGGTCCATGTTAGCCTGCGTAGCAGGCGTTTAGCTGACGGGCGGGTACACGACGCCCTTTCTTCTCCCGCCCGCACTAAACGCCTGCTACGCAGGCTAGGTCCATGTCTGCAAAGCTGTACCACAAAATAAATAATAAGACCAGAAGTCTCACTCGATGTCGGAATCTTTGATGTTGATGTCCCCGCGCATGTCGCCTCGCGCATCTTGGCCGTGTCTCGTTTCCAGTGCCCTAAACAAGTGTAATTTGACAAATTTACATGTAAACATTAAGGAGTGAGGAAGTTAAAACGATACCAATCGAGTTTTAGAGCTTTGGTGACCATTTTAAAAGAATATATGATAAATTCAAAGGTAAGTCTATCGTATTGCATTGTCTTAAATGAATTCTCAGCTAAAATACGGCAATAAATGGATCATAAACTTAGCTAAATTTACTGTTGACAACGAGGTTGACAGATCCATTGCTTTTTTGCCTTGAATAGCTTTACCATAGTCATTTTACCTTAAAATGTAGCTACCGAGGATATCTCTAAGAGATTTTACACAGATTATTTGCACAATCTCACATCGATTTGCACAATCGATTTAATCATGCTGATAACATGAAAATCCTTGTGCCATTCTATACTTGGCATAATCTCTACATCAATAGTTCACCAGTTCACTAATATAAATTCAATATGTTTTTGAACCAGTCCATATATTATTGTACACAATGTAGTATAGTTAATTTGACCATATTTGAGAAGTAAGGGTGTATTTCATGTCACAGACACTGCTGAATTTTAGGTTACATGCCATTGGATTGATGTATAAAAAACACTTGTAAAACACACACATTATCTTGTTGATAGAATAGTTATTTGCAGTATACTAACTGTTGGCATACTCTATTTCAGGACTATAAATTGTTTTTGTCACTGGCAGTCTTTGAAATACAATCTTGCTCTGTGGCCTTTACTGACAAGTTGGCTTTTACTACATATGTAGCACTGACACTTCTTTAATTAATGCACCAGTCAATGTAAACCCCCCAACCAGGGAGGGGCAGGGATTTTGACTTGGAGGGGTAGTAAAAAAGCGAAATTGTCCGCGCCCCCAGGGATAGTTTTGTATAATCATAGATCAGCAATAGAAAATCAAATTCATTTATGTTGTTGTATTTAAACTTTTCTTGTCAAGAAAACTAAAACAGCAACACAGGATATATATTAATTTAGTTTATTGTACGATCATCCAGATTAAATTTCTTTAATTATTTCTGACGTTTCGGCTACCTACACGGCGGCCATTATCAAAGACGTATTACAGTTACAAAAAATTTTTACAGTTATAATAATTTTATCTTGCGTCAAAAATGACGTGCGCGTGTTCGTGATGTTGTTTGCTCGCGCCTGCGTTCAAGGCATTCGAGCCTGCGTTCATGCGTGATTAGTCCAGCGTATGCTCCTGGCATATCGCGGCAAATGTTAATGCTGTTTTCATCGCATTTTGTAAACCAGCTTTCTAAGAACATTCTCTCATCCTCAAAACTATTAAACTCCATACAAGTGGCTCCCTCCCACTCAATTTTATGATTTGTTTCCATACGATGAACCGCAATTCTATTCGCCACGTCTTGTTTCTCTATTGATCGCTTATGATAATTTGATAATGGCCGCCGTGTAGGTAGCCGAAACGTCAGAAATAATTAAAGAAATTTAATCTGGATGATCGTACAATAAACTAAATTAATGGCAAAACCCGGATTCAAGCCCTTCACAGGATATATATGTTAACCACTGTCCAAGTCTCCCATCATTAGGGACAAATTTATAATCAAAACTGACCACTTTCCCTGTTAAACCTTCCGCCCCTCCCCAGTTGGGGGCAGAGATTTACATTGACTGGTGCATAACTAGATGATTGCATGAAGCATTGCATGGAAGTTGATTTATAATTAGTTTATGAATAAACTCACACTTTCATTATAATGGTTGATCAAATATATCAAATGCATTTGATTGGTTGATGGTCCCTTAATGGTAATGGTAGTCAAATCTGAACCTATATAATGTCAATATACTGGAAAAGTATCAAATTAAATTTTAATTGTCAATGTTGTGGAAAGTAAATAAATCAAACAATTCTGTTTGTTTCAACTAACTAGTTCACTATCACTTTGGTTTTCAAATCAAAGAATCTTTAACCTGGTTGAGCTTTTGAAAAAGTAGCTGATTGATTGAACGCAAGATTATTTTACTCTGTCTAATGCCAGACAATTTCACTCGTCAAGGGGAAAGTGTTGCCGCTCGGTGAACTCAATCAGAGCTCAATGAGCAGCAGCACTCTCCCTCGATAAGTAAAATCATCTGGCATTAGATGAAGTGAAATAAACTAGTAAATAGGGTGCATTGGGGCACAATGCAGCTTACTGGGTTAACTGGAAAATATATTTATTAAACAATATACACCCTATACTTGTATTTCAATTCACAGCATGATTTAGTATGCTTATGTCTATTTGACCCAAGTACCTGACAGGAATGATATTTGAATCACACCTGTATTCATTGAACAAAGCTAATTTAAATGTACATTAATTGTACATGAACCATGTAAATACTAGCTAGAGCAAAAACACACCCACACAGCTTTGTTTTTTATTTTTCTTGAGAAGGAATAACTGAGACTACTGAGTTACAATGAGACCAGTATTAACAATTTCAAAAAGGTATTGTACAAAAATATTACAAACATAAGACACTTTAAAGACAGAAAAAACACGAAGTATGTCACTACAGAAACTGTATTCTGTGATATAGATGATATTGCTTCAAAGAAACTTGCAGCTTTTAGCAGTTGTGTAAGGGCCGGTTTATATCGAAACTGGCTGGCCCGCTAAGTGAGACAGCCCGGTAAGTGAGATCTTGCTGTCTAGTTATTTTTATAGTACAAATTATCATTTCTATGGACAAGCTGGCAGGCCCGGTTGCCAAGACCAGGATGGAAATTTCTCCACATAAACAATCACAAGCAGGCTAGCCTGGTTGCCGGGATGAAAGTTCAAAGATACTGCCGCAAGCTATTTTTAACAACTGTCAAAATAATGTCAAAACAACAAAATTGTCCCGGTAAGCGGAATGAAATTTTCTCAAATAAACACAAGAGAAATCATCCTGCTTACCTACCTTACCGGGCTGTCTTGCTAAGCGGGACAGCCCGGCTTCCATACAAAAAGGCCCTAACAGTCTCTGTCAGGCAATTACAATGTTCTAATGTCCAAACTCTAAAGTATTATAAACAAGCAGGACAGGCCACTGATTGCAAGTTGCTGGTATTAAGGTGGCTCCCTACAGTTCTCTAAAATTCTAGGTATTTTGAGTAACGTTCGCTTTAAACCGAATTTATATTAGATACACTTAAGACAAGGCAATATGATCATTTCCAGGAAAGTTCAGAAGCTGTGTGCTGTCCATTTATGAACAAATTAAAACAATGTTTGTGTTGCCATGGCAACCATGACGTTTAATCTTTTGCACTTTTATTGTCTAATTTCACAATAAATTGACAATATCTATATTTTCCTTCGGTGAATTTTTCTGAACTTTTTTTTTAAGATTTATGGCCCATAAAGGAAAAACATATCAAAATTTGAAGGGAATTTACAAATAAGTTTTCGAGATATTCGTGAATGACGGTTACAGAAAAAGTTATTTGTAGAATTTCTTAAAATTTGGATATGTTGTACCACTCGTCTTGTATAACAAAAATACAAAGTTTAAAAAAATTTCACCGAAGAAAACACGAGAAAATCACCGCTAAAATCGGCGTGGCCAGCATGAAAAAAAATCGACTCGACATGAGCACGATCTGCGCATGCGTGTAAATTGTAGCGTGTGATTTAATATAGTGATTTCAACTTTTTGGCTTACGATACATACGAAAACAGATATTTCTGACTTGTTTGACATGAAAATAAAATATTAATCTTGAAAATACTAATAAGAAACACTATTATACTCATTGTATTAAATCCAGTGTTAGTTTACATTTGTTTCTGTTGTTAAAATCGGTGTGAAAACTTTTCAAAACATCGAACTACAAGTTTAACTTTTCATATAAAACAACTCATAACTGTTTTATTTGATTTAGCAGATAAAACGATACCTGTGAATTGAATTGATTGACAGAACTTACATAAGTTTCGGCGACAGTTCACTACTGTTCAAGAGTTAATAGAAGACAGTATCATTTCAGTTTGACAGTTCGGAATAGAACAAGTTGAAAATTTTAAGCAATATGAAAGACAATACTGAACGTAAATACGTAAAAACACACTAAAAGATAGGTTAAACCAGTTAATAACATACGTACTGTTCGAATTCAGAAAAAAATTAGGATTATAATGAAAAACTGGAGCTTTCTTTGTAGATAAAAACGCCAAAAAACTTCCCGCGGCTTGTTTCAATATTTTTGCTGAACAGTAAACACGACGATTCCACGCGCAGGTCGCCAGGATGAAGTCTGATCTATATAAATCGTATTTAAACTGTACTAACTGTAGGGAGCCACCTAAGTCATATCAACATGTGATCTCGACAATATACAGTGTATAAACTAAAGTAATTCAGCTTCTACACATGAAGCGACTTTAAACACTATCCTTACACTTTATCAATTCATTGAAGTTTGTACTTAAAAGACATTTTATTTGTAGTATTAAATCGTAAGACATATTCTATTTGCAGTATCAAGTCACATCAGGATTTTATAATCTAGCGTCTTTGGACCCAAGGGATCTAGAGTTCTATCTTGTTAAAACCTATCCAAGGAAAAACAAGAAAGGGATATTGAAGTAATGGTGTTTTTGAGCCAATTAAATTCGAATATCCACAAGTATAAAAGCAGAACTCCGTATATACCGGAGACAAAATGGCATCATAGCGAACACATTTTAATGATGGTCAAATTTATATTCAGTGCGCTATATTTTTAAAAATATGACCCTGTTTGCTTTCTAAATACAACAAAATTACTGCTCTACCTTCTGTTCAAATAGTTCCACAGATAAATCGAAGTCACAATTCGTACTACTTGAAAAAAAAGCTGTTTTTACTGTAGAAATGACAACTTCCCAATATAAGTTTCTATTGTCAACACTGCATTACACTTGTTTAGCTCGCGCATGCGCAGTATAAAAGATGGGACATGTTTCCGCTTGAGTAAGACTTCTGGTTATCTATTCTGTGCTTTGATGCCTCACGAATGTGGGATATCAAACCATGCCAGA